AGTAGGGCATTACTTAAATTTAATTTTACCAGATGCGTATTTTATTATAATCTAGGAAGGACTCCAGGTGTAGAGTTACAAATTTATGGAAAAATACGGGAAATTTGCTTTATGCCTTCAGATTCTAGGCCTCAGGGAAAGGCTAATGTTGCTAAGTTGGTAAGCAAAGCATTTAATAATAAAAAGGTCAGCAACTCTAATTAGCTAATGCTAAACTGAAATTATGATCAATCTTCAGAAAAGAAAAATAGAATACCTCAAGTTAACAAATGGTTACAAATGAAGAACTTGAGGCTGATAAGGGGCAATGCTTTGTTCATTCCGATAGGTTTTCAATCACTTGTAATAAATTGAAGATACGGCTGGGATTAAGGATACATCTTCAGAAAAGTATTTATGAAGAATTTTGTTTACTGCATGAAAGCATATGACTAGGATAAGAAAATACCTTATGTTGATGCCTATCCAGAATCAACCAGCTGGTTGTGATTCGGGCTGAGCTTGAGGTAAGATCTGGGCAATAAATCTTGCATAAAAAATACATGAAATATACAAATATATATAGTAATGATATATAAATATATATTTATATATAAATATATACATATGACAGAGAACAATGTAACATATATAAATATAGGAAATTTATAAAAATGTAAAAATATACATTATATATGTCACGATAGAAGATTTATCTTGAAATCACTGAAAGAAATCTTAAAAAAAAACAAAAAAGGACAAAGATCATGTTTCTCCTGGCTTACTAATTTCACTAAACCACCTCTGGGATAATTTAAAACTATGGATATTGACATGGTGGTGGTAATTTTTGTAGAGATGAACTAAAAAGCAGGCATTTTTGCATTAATATATATTACACAGCTTGAAAAGTACTCTAAAAACTGGAATAGAAGTCTTGGGTTTGATCATGTTCTGTATGGCTCACACCAAAGCATGGGAAGCAGCAGAAGTGAAAGCACTCCACGGTAGTGAAGCTTCACATCAGGCAAAATTGGGCTTTAGGTGGCTGCTGCAATTGCCAAGAATTATTCTGGGGAAAAAAACCCAAATGTTTAAGTAGGATTTATACTATAGAAAAAGGCTTATTTTAGGAGCTCTTCATGCCTCTAAGAGGTGAAAAATTGTGATGGTTTCTGTATTTGTTTAACTATGTTTCACAGACGCAAAAGATTCCAGAAGACACGTACATTGCTGTAAATGTGAAAGACAAATTACAATTTTGTTGCTATTTGGATATCTTATGTTATCTTTCTTGTGTGATCAGGCAAAATATTGATGCAATATAATTTATATTCACATACTATGGAGCTTGACTAGGATGTCTGTGGTTCTAGTATACCAGAGAGCACAGCTGTAGCTGGAGTTCAGTGCTGTAAATTATTTTGGAATTACTTTCTGTGGCATAGCTTGCATTACAAAAAGAAAAATTAAGACAGTATGAAGATTGATAAAGTCTAGCAAACAGGAGGACTCTACTCCTTAATGCCCGATGGGTATCTCTAGAACTTGATCAATTACTGTTTGTTATAGCCCTGAGATAACAGCAATAAAAGCAATTCTCCCTGGGGTCAGGCTGTGCAGTTACTCCTCCCTCCGACTGCTGACCCTCAGATGGGGTGTGCAACACATGGCTCTGCTGTAGGGCAGACAGAATTTAACAGGTGGATTCATTTAGCGTGCCAACCTGTGACACTATGATTCTGTAAAAGCTTCTACAGAAAGGCTGGATTGGGAAGAAATCATAACATCATAGAATCAATTAGGTTGAAAAAGATCTTCAGGATCATTGAGTCACAGAATCACAGAATCTTAGGGGTTGGGGTTGGAAGGGACCTCGAAAGACCATCTAGTCCAACCCAGAGCAGGATCACCCAGAGCACGTCACGCAGGAGCGTGTCCAGGTGGGTTCTGAATGTCTCCAGAGGAGACTCCACAGCCTCTCATGAACCCTCATCTACCACGTCCAGTGTTAAACCGTGTTCCCAAGTGCCACATATAGAAGGCTTTTTAAACAACACACTGAGTGGCGGTGACTAAATCACGTCCCTGTGCACCTACTCGGCGAGGTCTCCCAGCTTCATAACCACCACGGGTGCAAACCTTGAAGAATTTGGGGGTTTGTGTTGTCGTTGGGGGGGTTTTTTAACCTTCACTCTCCACAGGGAAACCCCCTTTCAGCGGCGATTCCCCCACACGCAGAACTGCAGGCTGCCCCTCTACACTCACCCCAAGCTTTTAGGCCGGCACCGGCCC